TCATCTGCTGATGGGCACCTTGGCTATTGTGAAGTGCTGTAGTAAACATGGATGTGCAGGTATCTGTAGTGTGCTGGCTGAGATTTTGGGGGGGGGTATTCCCCGGAGTGGTATAGCCACTAGTGACTTTCTCAATGTCACAGTGAATGTCCTCTGAGTCTCCTGGGGGAAATGTAACACATGGGCAGGTGTGCAGGTTGTTCATGATAAATCTGTTTCCACTTCCCTCTAAGCCTTTTTATTCTTCCCCTGCAATCCACAAAGGAAGTTCTGGTATGACAATATCCCTACACAGAGGTCATTACTGGGACTCAGCTGATAGGTGTAGACTGTAGAGCCACCTCCTGCTGCATGAACCAATACCAATACCTAAATCCATCAGTGCAACTCCATACAAAGCCACATGCTGTGTTCTTCCAAGTAACTCCCTTAGAATCTGTTCATGTGCACATTGCTCAGGCTTCTACAGTGGAAGGCAGCAGAACCTTACCCTTCTGGTCTAGAAGCTGTCTTCCCAGGTAAGATTTTATTTACTTATTTATATTTTATGTGTATGAGTGTTTTGCCTGCATGTATGTAAATGCACTCAAGTTGTGCAATGCCCACGGAAGCCAGAAGAGGGCATCAGATCCTCTGGAACTGGAGTTATGGATGATTGTTAACTGCCATGTAGGTGCTTGGTACCTAATCTGGGTCCTCTGCAAGAGCAGCCAGTGATAACTGCTGAGCCATCTCTCCAGTACCATCAGATTTTAGTCTTACTCTATTCAAGCATGTCTGATGCCCATTGAGACTCTTGGGGTCACAGGAGAGTTCCAGGAGCCAAAGTATCCTTTTTCAGGCAACTGCCAAAGGGACCTTTTTGCAGGGTCCTTAAGTAAAGGAAAGGGAGTCTTCCAGACATGCCAGACAAGCTGCTTCCAATGGCAGCGGAGGCCCAGAATGACCCAAAGCTCAAGCTTCCCACTTCAGAGTCACGTGGATATTCCCCTTCCAAGTCTCAGGTTCTCAGTTTCCAAACCAGTGCTCTAACTTGCACACTGGACATAGGCAAGTGTTGGGAGCTATTAATCCATTATGTACATTGAGCTGTGGCAGGCTTGCTTGTTTACTGAGTTTGTGTTTTGCACACCAGTACCTAATCTGCCAAGTCAGGAGGAATGTGTTTATATGGTGGAGCTCATAAAACAAGTATTTGACCGCTCCTTGACCCTCAGATACAGGTGGGAAAAACAGCTGTTGAAATTAATTGAGTTAAGATCTCTGATGTTCTGTATAAAAAGGCGGAGCTAAAATAAACCGGGGCTGAAGTCTCTACTGACAGTCCTCCCAAGTACCTTTTTCTCTGTCTCTTGTTTTTTCTTTCAATCCTCACTCCCCCTTTCAGGTACTGTCCGTCTTGGCCAGCTGGCACCAGCAGGCAAGATTGTGAATTACACTTAGATTGTGATTACACAACCCACATGGTTAAGTTCTATCAGTCATTTTCAATAATACTGGCTCTGCGGCTATAAAAAATACATTTCTTGTTATTTTAATAGATAATTTGAATTAATACTGAATCTTATTTCTCTGGTTGTCTGATTGTGACCCATCTTTGAGGGTTGTTTCATAGGGCCACTCCTTGTATTGGTTAGTATGTTGTTAGATACCAGACAGAACATAAGAAATTGTTAGCTAGGGAAGAGGGCGAGAGGGAGAGATTGCCTGGAAGCAGCTTCTCCTAGCAGTTCTCCCTTAAGACTGAGAGAACAAAGGAAGGTTAGAATTATTCAAATTTAGAAGCCCAGAGGAGGGGACCCTCAGTGCTGAGCCCTACACTTCTGCAGGGGCATGCAGCTCAGCTTATAGGAGTGTTATCTGGGACACTGGGAGGCTGGGTGGTCCACTCTGAGTTGGGCTGGACTCCAGCATTCCATCCATACAAGAAGCCCCAGAATCTGTGCTCAGTTATTGCTGTGTGCCAGGCCTGCTATACACCAGCACAGTAGAATCAGCCACAGGTCTAAGATTTCTGGAGTCCCCCTTCACAGCTCCTCTCTTTGTCATGCCTTGCTCCCCTAAACCTCAGTTGCCCCAATACTTAACTGACCTCTTCCATCCAGCCATACCCTTCTGACCGGCTTGGTCTACTTCTCTGCACTGTGGCCTGAAACAGATCCTGAGGGGAAAGCTGTGTCCTCCTTGTCTAAAGCAGCTCTGTCCAGTGCCTGTCCTGTTTTATTCATCTTCCCAGCAGGAAGAAAAACCCTATGTCATTCTTTTTTCAGCTGTTCAGCATCTGAATTCTCATCTTTGTAGAAGTCTGCATCTCGCCATGCTCCCTATACACAGTACTGAAGCCAGACCTGTGCTGGGGTTCATGAGGCTTCCTGCTGGAATCCATCTCTCCCTCTGCTCTGGAGAGGCCCACTAGGGGTCTGAAGAGATGGACAGGCCTCCCAGGAGCGGCCCTGATTTGGGGCTTGAGACCCAAATGCATGGTCTGTTGATGAGAAGCCTTCCCTTGCTTAAGTGCCCCAGGACAGGAACACTTGCTATTCATCTCTGGACCCATGGGAGGAATGCACCAGTGAGCACACACACCCACTCTAAGTGGGGCATGCAAAGTCTCCCCTTGTGTTTGTGCCCAGGCTATGTACAGAGTGGGCAGAAAGTTATCCCCACCCTTGCTGCTTAATCACTTCCCAGGTGCCTGGGATCTCACCACCTGCCGCAACCCCTGTCTCTATCAGGAGAATTCACCCCCACCATTTCCCATCATCCTAAGGGGGCCCCATCTGTGGCCCACAGTGTTAGTTGGCCCCCTGGGAAGCAGACCGAGAGAAAGAACTAACTCTGCTGGGCTGTGAGATTGAGGGCAATTTAAAAAAGAAATAGACAGTGCTGATCATCTTCAAAGCCTGGTATGTTTTCCCCACCCAGACACACTCAGACTTTGATGCCCCGGGCTCAGGGCTGGAGAATGAATCCTTTGCTTTAATTCTCAGGGTCGTTTTGCATACATAATGCTCTCCCTAACATTTAAAAGGAATGTAGATGGTATGTAAATGCGCCTCTGCTATTGCCTATCCCAACCTGCATAAGCACACATGAATTTCATGGTGACATCATTCTGTGACTGCTCCCTTGGTGTCTGCATAGAAAGCAGGCAAGTCCATCCTGTATACATTTGCCTTGTCGTGTCCATCCAGGTTCTCAGGACTAGTGTTTGGACTGTGGGAATAATGGTTCAGTTTGAGGAGCCTTAAGATCCCTCTCTCAACCCCTAATAGTTTGATCCCCTTCATGCTCTGTGTCAAGTCTCATTCTTGAACTCCTCTACTGCCTGGGAGTTCTCCACCTCTGCAGCAACCTATTTTTATTTCGGACAAGGACAAACCATTAGAATGTCTGTACTTACCAGGAAGGTGGTCCCTGAAAAGCAGTGTAATTCATCTCTTTTGTTTCCAAATCCTGCTTTGTTGCAAATTCTGTTTCTTTCACATCATTAAAAACGATCTTATATTACTGGCAGTATACACATTCAAATACACATATCCTTCACACAAATGTGCATTTTATAACCGCCATCTCACTAAAGAGTATATTATAATCATTCTTCCATTTCCGTTAGCCTACATCTCCTTGCTCAGTGCCTAGCTAATTCTCTATTGTTGGACAGACCATAATATACATAATCATTGCCTTTCCCTAGGCAACTAGATTGTTTCCAAGTTTTGGATATAGTGACCAACTCTGGGATGAAGTCATGCAAAGTGACTATTTTCTTAGGCATCACAGATGGGATCTAGGGTCACGTCACAGCGTGAGCAGGTTAAAAGACCATTCCAGGTAAAGACAGCAGCCTCCTGGTTGGAGATAATCCTTAGTGGGTACTTAGGGCAAGTAAAGTGCTTTCCCAGAAGTGTCCTGTTTATTCCTCACTGCTTCCCATCTCCCTTCCCCACCGGCACCTGACTATCCCTGTTCTGTGACCTAGTGTAAGATAAGAGCTGGGGTGAACCCATCCTGTGGCTCTTCTCTGCTCTGCTCACCACATTAAGTGGCCTTCACCGGGGCTCCTTTCAGGGGTAAGGAGCACAGAAGATGCAGAGAACTGAACGGTCTTCTGGCTAGGCATAGGTGCACTGACACTTGCACACCAGCACCAGGACTCCATCAGGGCGTTCTTCCCAATAACAAAAGCACAGAGCACAACTGGTTAAATAATTCTCATTTTGTGCAAATAAACACTGTGCAAAGTTGTAACAGCCAGAGCCAGTCCACGTGAACTCCCAAATACATCATCATATCTAGTCACTACGAGGTCCCTGTTACCCATACGGTGCACGGTGACTTCGTGTAGCAGTAAGAAACATGCACGCGAGCGCACAGCCTATTCAACTATGCTCCCATTGTTTGGGCAAGAAACTGGATTTCAGAGATGATAAAAGGTGGGGAAAGTAATGTGCACAGTACCTTACTGTGCATGTATGTATGTGGATGTTGTGTAAGAGGGGACAGGTCTATACAATCACCTATGCTTGTAAGGGGAGAGAAAATTCCCGAAAAGACTCAGAAAGCGCTGGCAAGTAAGAGTGGCCTCTGAGAGCTGGGCTGGGGAACTGGATTCAAACTAGGAGGGAAATCTATTTGGCTATTTGTAGAATCTGACACCTTAAACCAGATATTCAGGTTATTAAACAAAACTGGAAACAGGGAAAAATAAAACAGCACATCCTACACAACTTGTCCGCTCCAGCGGACAAGTTGCTGCTCGGACTCCTTCTGGGTGTCCCTCAGAGCCGGATCTACTGTGGAAGACCTGGTCTTGCGATGTCCCTCGGGTTCCGAGCCCCTGGAGGGTCGCAGGCTGGCCGCCCTCGCTGGTCCCGGGCCACCGGGCGCCCCGCGGTGCAGGCCCGGCCAATCAGCGGCCGCGGGGCGGGCGCGGTGGCAGCTCCGTGCGCACCAAGCAGAGCGTAGAGTAGAAGCTCCGCTGCCGTCCGGGCGAGGCCATGCCGCCGCCGCTCCCGCTGCTGCTCCTACTGCTGCCGTCGCTGGCCCCGAGCTTCGGGCTCCGCGGCGCGGGGGGACGACACCCCGAGTGCGTCCCCTGCCAGCCGGAGCGCTGCCCGGTGCCCGCGCCCTGCCCCGCGCCCTGGATCGCCGCGCGCGACGAGTGCGGCTGCTGCACGCGCTGCTTGGGCGCAGAGGGTGCGAGCTGCGGGGGACAGGAGGGCGTGCGCTGCGGCCCAGGCCTGGTGTGCGCGAGCACTTTGCGTGTGCGCGCAGCGCGGCGCGGTCTGCGGCTCCGACGGCCGCTCCTACCCCAGCGTCTGCGCGCTGCGTCTGCGCGCCCGGCTCGCGCCCCGCGCACACCCCGGCCACCTGCACAAGGCTCGTGATGGGCCCTGCGAGTTCGGTGAGTGGGTTCCACCTGGGTGGGGAAGCGGGACTCCCGTTCTCTAGAGTGTGGGACAAAGAACTTTACTGTGCAGCGGTGGACATCACCACCCCGGCCTCAGTTTCTCCTTCAGGGTCAGTATTTCGCATCTTTCCCGTGCTGGTGGAGAGTGGGGACGCCACATCCTGCTCTCTGCCAACCCAGTTTATGGAGACTCCAGCCCAGGAGCAAGCCGGAATTTGGATGCTTGCGAACTTGCTGATGTGGTTATTTTAAAAGGGGTGGGATTTTCCTTGCCAGGTGGATTGTTTGAATGGAGAGGAAGGGAAGGTGAGGGTTCCCAGGAAGCAAGAGTTCACCCGGTTCTTGAGAGTCAAGACAGAGCACCAGGATCCTGGGTGTTCAGAGAGACCCAGCCTTAGATCTTAAGGGAGTCCTATCCAGGTTAAACCTTTGAAGACTTAATCTCTGAGAAGATTATGCAACCTTGTGGGTCTCAGGTGTGCATAACTTAAAGGATCTTACTTTAAAGAAAGGAAGAAACCTTTGAAGACTTAATCTCTGAGAAGATTATGCAACCATAGAGGCCGACCTAGTATTTTGTGGGTCTCAGGTGTGCATAACTTAAAGGATCTTACTTTAAAGAAAGGAATAGAAAAAATATCAGTTACCAGGGCTTTCAGAGCTTAAGCTTCATTAACAACACTGCAGACATCTCTGGTGCCATCTACCCACTTTCTTTGTGTAATTCAACAACAACAAAAAGCAGAAATAGACCAAGACATCAGTATATAAGGATGTCTGGCAAGGATAGTCAGGTGTCATGCCTAGGTGTGGGCGTGACCTGCCTGTGACATTTTGGCGAACGGACCCTGTCTATTCTGTCTGGAAAGGACAGTGGAGAACTCAGGGAGATTAGGGTGATTAAGTCTGATAGCTGACTGGTCCCTGGACTTTGGGCTTCTGAGGAAGATTGCTGGCCTGGACTGGGAGAGCAAGTCCAGACTAAATGCCCAGGCTAATGTAATAACCTCAGCTTCAAGAAGGACACCTTTTCAGGCCTTAAGTCATATTTGGTATTGTTATTGCCCTCTCCCTCCAAATCTGCCATAGAGATGTGCTCAAATCCAGGATTCCAATGAGCTGTTGGAGATGGGGCAGGAAGTGCCTTATACAGGGAAACAAAGACCATATGTATGGGGAAAAGCCATCTTTCCTAACTGGGGCTCCCAGTGGAGGACAGCAGGTTGGAGGTACACTGGGCAGTTACTGGCTCCCCATCTGACCTTGGGCCAGGTCTGTCGCCTCTCTGGCCACAGCAGTCCTGGGAAAGCCATTGTTGAGGTCCCTTCTACTTTGCATGCTTGTTTCTGCCTTGTGACACGGAAACAGTTCCATCTTTCCTTGTAGTTCTGTCACTGGTTTTTACAATCTGCTTTCCTCAGCAGTTCATTCACAGGCAGTTCCTTTGTCTGCAGACAGGTAGCACTAACTACACATGCAGGACTCAAAAGAAATGCTGACCAGGTCGCCAGCAGCTATCCTGTGTTGATAGGCTCAGATAATTCCTTCCCGGAGTAGCTTTCTGTTTCTAGCAGAAAGACCCCTTCAAGGCATATGGAGCAAATCTGCTGTTCTGCTGAGGAGACCCAGACCCAGAGAGGACTGGGGAACTTGTCCAAGATGTCCAGGAGAGGCTGCGCATCCCATGTCCCAACTCCATGTCCAGCACTCTTTTCAGAATTGGACTTGATACTATTAAGTCGGGCAGATGGTGGTTGCTATGGTTACCAGAGTACAGACAGATGGCAGATGGAAACCCCACACCCCTAATTCACTGAAAATTACCAAATGACAAGTAAATGTGACAGCCCCTCCACTCTGATCTATGGACTCTGAGGTCCACCCTGGGCCTTGGGAATAAAGAGGTCCTTGGAGCCAAAGGGAACAATTCAGAAACTGATTTCCACGACCTTCATTACTGACAGGCATCAGGGATCCTGAACTCAGCTGTCCTTCCTGCCAGTGTTAGTGTCTTCCACCTTGGACCTGGTGCTGTCTCCCTGTCACCTTCTGTCCTCACAGACTTGTGTGGTCCTTTCCCTTGTGTCCCAGTGAGGCATGGAGGTTTGGAAAGGGAGCTGTTTGCCAACGTTGATTGTACCTCATTTCAGACTGCCCTAAAGCCATCTTTAATTCAAAAGACACCGTGGGAGCACTTTTTAACAAAGCCCCAGGGGACCCTGTCTGAAGGAAAACAGCCAGAACAGAGCAGGTCTGCTTCAGTATGGTAAGAGTCACCCCTGCTCAGCTTTGGGGACTCCTTCAGCACCCAGGCACCTTGACTTTGATGCTCATAACCATTGATTAGGTTCTACCCAGTGGACGCCTATGTCCATGCAATACCTCCCTGGGACGGTGGCAAACTGTTTGGATCTTGAATGCTGCCATTCCCAGAAGCCTTTGCTCAGAAGTGCCCTATTGCCTAATATTGAGATCATCCTTTGATTCCCACACATTGAAACCCCATGTGTGAACAATTCTTGATTGTTAGACATTGCTTGTTACCTGTCTTCTTTGCAAAAAACAGAGGTCTCACTCCCTCTTAATAAAAAGGGACACTGAAACACACCAAAGGGAATTCCCTGGAGCTACCTAACGCCTCCCAGCGGAGACTGAGATGGGACTCCAGCTAGGTTGGCCTCGCTCTGCGGATCCCTGCCTCCCATTTCCAGCCTGCAGGACTTTGAGCCCCAGCAGCTTCTCTGAGCTCTTGAGATCCAGAATCTTAGAAAATTCACCTTGGTTGGAATTCCAGCTCCACTTAGAAGCCTGGGGTGCGTGTTACCAGGTAACCAGAAGAGGCTGCAAATGCCACTTTGTGAGAGGGACAAAGAGAGGGCCTGGTGCTCAAAAGCCTTTCATGAATGCCGAGGGAGGGGATTTGAAGGGAGTGGATTTGACGCACAGGCTGCAGGCAGCCAGATTAAGCTGGGCCTCCTTCCACATCCTATCGTGGCCATTAGCATAAATTATCAAGCCTGTTTGGCATGCTGGTTATTAAACTCTGCTTGTATGTGTCTTATTACAAGCAAATAGCGTCCTGGGGGATAACTTTTGCTATTCTTTCTTTCCCTGGCACCATTAACTAAAAGAAATCTCTGAGGCATTTGGGACTATCTTTTATTTAGATCAAGGACCTATTTAATGGATGGGGTAGGGAGACAAATCTCCACATGTATAATAGTAATATGTATCCTTTCATCTGTGTAGATCCACACAGCTAACACAGGCCCAGGCATTGTGTGTCCCCTCAAGCCCCCCCCATACCCCAGAGGGTGTGGAGAAGTGCTGTTCTCTTCACATGCCCAAGTTCCAATGGATGGCACCTGAATCCCCAGGTGGCTGAGTCCCACTGGTACTATTTTGTCCATCCCATGGTACTACCTCTTGTGACTGTGCACAATGGGTGACTGTGACCTGCTGCCTAGCCCTAGGATGGGTGAGGTTGTGCTATCCAGAATTTCCAAGGCTGCTTCAAGCATGCCCAGAAAGAAGGAAGCAAGAATTTGGTGAGTAAGAGCTAGAAAGGTGAACCAGATCATTGAAAAGATTGAGCTGGAGACTGGAGAGATGGCTCAGTTAAGAGCACTTACTGCTCTTGCAGAGGACCTTAGATTCGATGTCCAGCACCCACAAGGCAGCTCACAATTCTGTAACTCCAGTACCAAAGGACTCGATGCCCTCTTCTGGCCTCTCTGGGTATTGCATGCACATGGTGTATTTACAAAGTAGGCAAAGCACTCATACACATAAAATAAAAAAGACTGGCCCCCCTCCTGAAAGCTACTTTATTCTGGTCAACAGCACATGGGACAGAAAGCCCCGCTTCTTCCAGGATGATGGCAACCCTGGCAATGGTGAGACAAGAGGCTGTCTTGGGATTTTTGCAGATTCCTGCTATCTATCACCAGCCTGCAGGGCATTGAGCCACAACAGCTTCTTTGAGCTCTAGACATCCTAAGGACTGAGGGTCAAGGCCCCTGGTGCTGCCAGATGAGTCGTGTCATCAGAGACCAGCAGAAAGCGGCAAGCAGATACAGCACAGTAGTAAAGTTTGTCCTGGACATCATAAACTACTGTGTTTCTGGATCCCTTCTTAGGGCACTGTCACAGATCGAGGAGGTCTCATAACTGTTTTTCACATCAGCCCACAGGGAACAGACAGAGGGAATGTTATAGCTTGAATTGGAAATGTTTCTGGAAGACTTGTGTGTTGAAGGTTTGGTCCCCAGATCTGGCGCTTTTGGGAGGTGGGGCCTAAGTGGAGGAAGTGGATAAATCTTGTCCCAGTTCTTCCCTTGTCCAGCTCTCTGCTTCCTGGCTGCCATTAGGTGAGCAGCTTACCTTCACTGTGTCCTTCCACCATGAAGTTTCTGTCTTGCCACAGACCTAATAGGAATGGAGCCAGCCATGGATCAAAACATCTTGATATTGTTAATTAAAATAGATGTTTGATTATTTAGTTTATCTCAGGTATTAGGTCCCAAGGAAGATGTGTTCCTGCATTTATTTTAAAGAAGCAGCCGCAGGGGCTAAAGAGATGGCTCAGCAGTTAAGAGCACTGGCTGCTCTTGCTGAGGATGTAGCTTCAGTTCTCAGTACCTACATGGCAGCTAACAACCATCTGTAACTCCAGTTCCAGGGGATCTGATGCCCTCTTCTGTGGTGGAGCATACTGCTACCTCCCAAGCCAAGAAATAGAAGATACCAGAGCCCCCAAAGTCCCCTCTGAGAGCACACATCTGGTGACCTAAAGACCTCCTGCTACACCCCACCTCCTGAAGGTGCTTTCAGCTCCCAGTAATATCAGCCTGGGGACCCAGCCTGCAGCATATGGGCTTTGGGGGTCACTTATCTAACCACAGCATTACCCTCTTCCCATCTGAGACCTTGATTCATAATTTGGTACCTATGTGACCAGCCCCACTAAAAACCCTGGCACTGGGCCTCTCATGAGCTTCCCAGTTAGACAGCTTTTCACAGTTGTGTCTCTGTCCATAGCTGCACCCTGTGTGGCTCCCCCAGGAGAGGCTCTGTGGAGCTGGTGCCTCGATCCCCCACCTGACTTTCCTATCTGCTTGAGCTTGCTCTGTATCCTTGGCTGACATAGGTCATGACCATGTGGAGGGAGGGATTTTGAGGCCTCCCAGCAACCTACTGAGCCTGGAGACCCCCACGACAGTCTCTAAAGAAATGCTGTCTTATTCCGGGATGGAGCCCACCAAAATAGCAGTTGTCCCAGTTTTAAAAATAGTGTGGGATTTTATGGAATCCACGCGTGAGTCCCATCTCCCCCAAGGCCTTTTCTAAGCCTTAGTTTCCCCACCTGTAAAGTGGGGCTAAAAGCACCAAACCTTGCAGGGCGGGTGTGAGGATACAACACAGCCATCTGGGAAAAAGACAAGGTGGTGTTAGGACAAGGTTAATGTGAACTCTAGCCAGAAAGCTAGGGTGTCTTAGCCTTCCCATCATTCAAGTTGGGCTGACCCCAGGCAGCTCCCCCTGCTGGCGGCTGATAAAGTTGCTGGAAAGGAGCACTTGAGCACCGAGCAGGGATGTTAGCTGGTGGCATTGTTACTATTACTATGATTATTTTTGGTTGTGCAGAGCCGTTATGGATAGAATGTAAATTTAATGTCAAATAAATTAAAAGCAGATGATTGTGACAATGTGCGACCTGAGGAACTATTTCGAGATCACAGAATTGTGCTGTGCAGAGGTTCTAATGGTGGCTTCAGCTGTATACATTTGTCTAACTTAACTGCACACCAGAATGAGTTGTGCAGTATGCACATTTATAAATGAGTAAATAACATTGTGGAAGGTTGCTTTAACACTGAAAGCAAAGGCTCTTTTGTAACAGAAATGGTATTTCTTGCTGTGAAATCAGTGCAAAGACAGCCATCTCTAGACAGTCTTTCTTAATTGTAGTTATTGAAAAAGAAGGAGAGGGAGATGCGAAGAGAGCTGAGAGGTAATGTGATTTACTAGTTTATTCATTTAGGGCTGAAAGGGGGTGATGAAATCTCATTTAAAATTTATGACTTTACATGAATGAAAGTGAAACACGTTGATGGAGCGTCCCTCAGGAATCCATCGAGGGCCCTGGAACAGGCAGCTGAGACTGGCTTGTGGGTGGAAGAGGCTTCCCATGCACCCGTGTGACTGAGGACCTGCTGGCAGGAGGATGTGAATACATTAGCCTCTCTTTGTTGTGGTGGTTGGGGCTCCTGCCAGACGCTGAGTGTGTGGGTCTGTGGCTGCGGGCAATGTTAGAGGTCTAGGAGCTCTGTTCACTGGGGATACTGGCTGCTCTCCTGCATAGGGAATGGTCCTTTGGAGGGTAGTCATGTGGGCAAAGCTGAAGGAGTGGCTGACCCAGGAGGGGTGGGTGGCCTGGCATGGGGAAGGCAGTCTCCACATTCAACTCACTGCAAGGCCATTGTCCCCAGGGCTCCAGAGGGCTGTCCTAGGATCATTAGATGGTGATTACGGAGGAAAGTGGCGGAGGAAAGTGGCGGCTCCAGTGAGGACAGGTTCTTACCCTTCAAGTGCTGAACTCTTCAGGTAGTGAGTTCTCCATCTCTGGAGGTGTGCAGGTAGCATGCCATGTGCTCAGGCACTGATGTCAAGCTCTGCTTCTCACTGTCTGGAGGGCCTGTACCACTCTCCTTTCTGTACTCTTGCATTTCTGGACCATACAGTGTGATCACCCCATCCCTCACTAGTGTCCCTTCCTTCATTCTCCTATTTTATTGCAGCATTTCAGTAGACAAAGGCCCTTCCATGCAGTCCTTGGTTTGCTGGCCCTGGAATGATGGGATTGCTCTGTTGTGTGTTGTGTCTTTCTTCATCTAATCATCTGTCTACCACACCTGCCCCTGACTCCCATTCTCATATCATGTCACTATAGTTATGGCCTTCTCCTTCCATCTCCTTTCATGGGAGGCAGGGATCTTCTCCCCATGTCACAGGGGAAGAGACCTGAGCTGACAGTCTTTCCCTGGCCAGGCCTCCACCTTGTACCTTGCCAGACAATGCAGCTGAACACCAAGGTGGCTGGGCTTGCCATCTGGAACAGGTAGAGACCATGAAGTAGCTGTGACGAAGGTGGTGAAAGAGGTGCAGACCCCTGGTTTAGGTTGAGATTGTGTAGCTAGGCCTGTAGGATGAGTAAGGTATCCTCCCTGTGGAGCTGAGACATGGGCAAGAGTGGTATATTCTATGCACAGGGAAGGCTGGGCATTGAGGAGCCACTGGATGGGGCTTGATGGCCAAGGATGCTGGGCTTGATTCAAGCCGAGCAGATCCCAGGCATAGAAGGAAGCAGAGTATGGGAGGTGAGCTAGGAGGCTCTAACCTGTGCTGCAGATTCTTAGGTCCTCTTTAAAAAGCTCCAACCTTCCTTTCCTTTGAAACTTCTACACATAGAAGCAGAAAAGCCACCTGTCAGAGCCTCTGCCTTTGATGACTTAACACCACCCTCTAGGATAGGACTTCTTAAACTTTTTCTATGTAGCACCTGAGAAATTCTTATGTATCCCTGGCTATAAAATTGGTATAGAAATCAGGCCAGGCATGGTGGCTCACACCTTTAGTCTCAGCACTCAGGAGGCAGAGGCAGGCGGATCTCTGTGAGTTCAAGGCCAGCTGGGGCTGCAGGGAGACCCCCACCTCAAAAAGATCTTTAAAAAATGGTATAGAAATCAAGCATTTAACTGAAAATAAATCATAAAGAAATTTATTTTAAAACAGTTTTTTGGTATACAAATAATTTTACCATTCATTAAAAATTTGCCTCCTAATGAGATGCATGTGTTTGTTTATTTTTACATAAAGAATTAAATCTCGGCTGTATATTCAATACTTGGACATGGAGCTTCTTCAACATTTTTTCATAGTTGATTGATATTTTGATTTTATAATTCCTTCCTATATTACAATGTGGTAGAAGTGGACTGGGGATGTAGCTTAGTTGGTAGAGTGCTTACCTAGCATGCACAAAGCCCTGGGTCTGATCCTTAGCATCACATAAACTGGACATGGTGTACCACATCTGTAATCCCAGCACTCAGGAGGTAGAGGCAGGAGAATCAGGAGTTCAAGGCCATTCTTGGCTATGTAGAAAGTTTGAGGCCAGCTTGGGCTAAGGAGACCCTGTCTAAAAAGGAAAAGTGTTTGTTTTCTATAATTAAATTGTATTTCTGTAAGAGCAGGAAACTTTGCATGTACAACAAACACACTGAAGGTCATAACACACAGTTGTCTTGAGGCATCAATTACTGGGTGTGTCAGGCAGTGTCATTACCGTCGTGTGGCATGATGGCGTATGCGGTGTAAAGTTCAAGACCAAGACTGCACTGAAGTTTCACGATGCAGTGTGGGTGAACACACCAGAATCACCTCAGATTCGGTCCTTAAATTAAATTTTTGTTATTGAAATTTTGGGGGGGACCCTCCACCCCTGTATTCAGTTATGGGACTCACAGTTTAAGTAACTGGATTCTCAAGGCTGGCAAGATGGCTCAGCAGTTAAGAGCTCTTGCTGCTCTTACAGAGGACCTGGGTTTGGTTCCCAGCACCCACATGGCAGCTAACAACCACCTGTAACTCCAGTTCCAGGGGATCTTACATCCTCTTCTGGCCTCCGTGGTGTATTTACGTACATTCAGGCAAAACATTTGTATACGTAAAAAATTTTTTTAAAGAGTGAAAAAGAAAAACTGGGTTCTAGGATACTGCCATGTGTCCTATAGCTGAGCTATAAGCAGATGGCAGCTGGGGTCCTGGGGGTTGTGGGGCCCAGGGAGAGAGTGTGATGTGACCTGAGTTTGCCACTGACCGTGTCACATTTCCCCTCTGGCAGTTAAACAAAGGCAGCCTTCAAGATCCCAGGCCCAGGAGTGTGCTCCCTTGAAGGAACCCCCTCTTTTCCAGCAGGGCTCCCAACGGACCCTCTGAGGCCAGGGTTGGGCTCCTGACCTGCTGGGGTAAAGGGTATGTTCCTTTGTTTTCTCCCAGCTCCTGTGGTTGTCGTGCCACCTCGGGATATTCACAATGTCACTGGGGCGCAGGTGTACCTGTCCTGTGAGGTGAGGGCTGTGCCCACCCCAGTCATCACGTGGAGGAAGGTAATTTTCTCCAAGAACTTGTGCATGGATGTATTTATGTGTGTGTATGGGCACATGTGTTTGTGTGTATGGGGGGGGAGAGAGAGAGAGAAAGGAGAGAGAGAAGAGAGAGGAGAGAGACCTGTGGGTGATAAACATTTTTTTCTGTAGGCATGTTTGTATATCTTTATATGTAGACCAAAGGGTTAGACAAAGATTTCTTAAGCATCAGTCCCCTGCCTCAATTCTGTCACTGCAGAGCTCTCTAAAGGGGGTGCTTTGCATTCCTTCCCATGCCATTTGTTCCTTTGGCTACTTAGGTGTCCAGAAAATTCTTTTAGTAAGAACAACAGCTGCTGGGTCATTAGAGCCTGCTAATGGAGCAAAGCTGTAGATAGACTTGGCTGGTGGCAGTAGACTCAGTCATGTTTCAAACAGTGAAGGCCAATTTTTGAGAGACTGGCAAAGGTCACAAGCTTTGTTGGCTCCTTGTCCCCAACAACTGTGGTTCCCAACTATTGCTTCCCTGCACCCTTTGGCAAAGTTGGCATCTTTGCTGTCCGGCAGGGGGTGCTGTCTGTACAGGCACAGGTTTAAAAGACCGACTCATTTGCATAGGAATGAGAGGCCCTTGGGTTTCAGCCTGAAGTCCTGGGAGGATGCAGATGGCCAGAGGTCTATGGGGTCATCCTTACCGGGTAACACATTTTCTAAACTGCTCCTGTTCTCTCTGCCCTGCATAGGTCACACACTCTTCTGAGGGCACCCAGGTGTCAGAGGAGTTGCCTGGAGACCATGTCAATATAGCCATCCAGGTGCGCGGGGGCCCTTCTGACCACGAGGCCACTACCTGGATTTTGGTGAGTGTTTCAGGTTATTGGATGTTATTGACTGAGCCTTATGAATCACACTTTATCTCTCTATGACATGTTATACTTTTCAGAGCTGTTCCCCATTCTTTTCTTTTGTCTGTGCTGGGGATTGAACCCAGAGCCTCATGTATGCTAGGCAAATGTTCTACCAGTGAGCTATAGCCCCACTCATTTTTAAAAAATTTTTATTAGGAGATCTGGGGGTAGTGGTACATCTTTAATCCCAGCACTCAGGAAGCAGAGGCAGGCAGATCTCTGTGAGCTTTAGGCAAGCCTGGTCTACATAGCAAGTTCCAAGGCAGCTGGGACTACAGGGAGACTGTCTCAAAAAAAAAAAATTTTTTTTTTAAATTTTGAGACAAGATCTTGCTAAGTTGCTCAGGCTGGCCTCAAACTCATCATCCTGTTTCCTTAGTCTCCTGAGTAGCTGATGTGTGTCACTAGGACCAGCTTGTTGCTATCCACTGGACCCTCTGGAAGTAGGTAGAGCAGGCCAGATAGGTCCCTAGAGCATAAATCTTCTGTTGCAGTGACCTCCAAAAGACACCCAAATGCCCAGCAGCTGTAGTAAGGCTGCTCCATCGCATGGAGGGTTAAGGTTGCCTAACAGCTGGCTTTAAGAAAGGTGTACTCAGGTAGACTCACATGTAAGTCACAGGCTGTTAGTAAAAGCCAGACAGCTTACAATAAAGGGTAGGAATGCAAAGAGATCACTAAAGGAAGAGCCACAACAGGGAGCAGGCCCTTCAAGAGGGTCCCTGGCAAGGCAGTTTTGCTATGTGCCTGTCTTCTGGGCAGGAAGAGAAAGGGAGATGCCTGTGAGATTCTGAAAGGAGCACACAGAGCTGGAGAGATTGCTCAGTGGTTAAGAACACTGGCTGCTCTTGCAGAGGACCCAGGTTTGGTTCCCAGCACCCACGTAACAGCCTAATTGTCTATAACTCCAGTTCTAAGAGATCTGATGCCCTCTTCTGGCCTCCACAGGCATTGTACAACATGGATGCACTTACATACGTACAGGCAAAACACTCAAACACGAAATAAAAATAAATAATTTTTTAAAGGAGCATTCATACAGATCTATCATTATGAATTGGAAAAGGGCTGGGTTGTGGCTCAGTTGGTAGAGTGTTTGCTTAGTATGCATGAAGTCCTGGGTTCAAGTTCTAGTACTGCATAAACCAGGTATGATGGCACAAATCTGTAATCCTAGCATTTGGGAGATGAAAGATCAGGAGTTCAAGGTTTTCTTCAGTTACACAGTGAGTTCAAGACCCTGCCTGGAAAAAAAAATGAATAAGGAAGGAAGTCATTTTTGTGTGCCGTGTGTGCTGTGTGTGCCGTGTGTAATGGTGTAAACTTGCCTATTGTATTTCTAGATCAATCCCCTGAGAAAGGAAGATGAGGGAGTGTACCATTGTCATGCAGCCAATGTCATTGGAGAGGCCCAGTCCCACAGCACAGTGACAGTCCTTGATCTGAACAGATACAAAAGCCCCCGCTCCCCAGCTCCAGCTGGCCTCCTGTGATGAGCACGGTACGTGCTGTGTTTCTCCCCCTTGGCGTAGGACATCTGAGGCGGTTTATTAGATGGGCTGTGAGAAAGAAGAGGAAGATGTAAGTCGGGGAACCTGGGGGAAAAGCAGAGAGTGGGACTGTATGAAGGATGAAGCTGGAAGCTATGCCGAGTCTCCCAGAATGCAAAGTCAGGAGTTGTAAACATGGTGTCCACAAGCTGAAAAAGCCAGTCATGATGTTAGTTTCCAAGGCAGGTGGTCTATTTCCTCTGGGTTGCAGACAGTGTCACTGTGACCTCTACTGGAAACATCCCTGCAGGGAGCCCTGTGCTTGTCTGTGGGCAGTTCTGCATCCCCAGGCCCTGCCCAGGCCATCCTTAGTGCTGCTTAGCAACACACCTGGGAAGGGGAGGGCAGATCTCTCTGCCTGTCTCCTGGCCAGGCAGACCTTAGTTGTTCTGGTCACAGAAGTGACAGCTGGATTGCATCTGTCCCAACCCATGGGTGACTGGGAACTTGGGAAATGAATCACTTTCTAAGCTAGCTTTGTCTGTCAAATAACCTCAAAACCTCACTGGCTCACAGCCACAGAAGGTTGATCTCTTGTTCATATCCGAGTTGCTGCTGTGGATCAGTTCAACTGTCTTCTCATTTGGGACCCAGCTGGAACATGGTGAAGACCAGGTCCATTCTTATGACAAAAGGGATGAGTAAGAGAGTGAGCCCAGCACACAGTCTCATTTAAAGTTTCTGCTCAGATATGATGTCATGTGTGCTGATGGCTCATTGGCCACAGTAAGTCACACAGCTATGCTAGGTGATAGAGTGGGCAACACACACACTCTACCAACTACAACTTAAGGGCAGGGAGGTGTGATCCCCTCACAGGCTTGGGAGTTGTCATCACCAAGGCTGACCAGCAAGGTCTAACAGAGCAGGAAAAATTAGAAATAAGTCTGATGAACTTTCTTAAAAAGCAGGAGGGTTTTGTTGTGGTTTTAATCCCATGATGTTTTTGGCTGATTCTGTTAGGGGAATACAGGGAAAATGACAGATAACATTGCTTTGGTATGAGGAACGCAATGTTGGGGAGTCAGGGAGGGTGGGGGATTGTGACAGGAGGAACAGTTTAGCGCTGGGCAAATCAAAGGAAAGAGGTTGCTGAAGAAGTAGCGCTGGAGTTGAAGGACAGGTGTCTGTGAGTAGAAGTAGGGAGAGAAACACAAAAGTGCAAACGCGTGAAATAGGAATTCATCAGAGAGTTAGGAAGCCAGGTCTTAAAGCTATCTTCCTGATACTTGACGTTTTTGTAATTTACAGATACATGATACATGTTATTATGTACATATTTTGTAAAGTTTATAATACATGTTTTACATATTGTCATAAGATACATCCAGGTCTTGAGTTCCCTTGACAGCGTGCAAGATTGGCTGGCTCCTACTTGCATGCCTCTAGGAATACAAAGCTTACCATCACCAGACAACCATATTGGGGTTGAGACGTTCTTTCTTATAAGCTGAAGTCGATGTCTCTGGAATATTGACCTTTGATCATAAATCAAAGATCTTCTTTGCTTTTCTAGGACCCTCTACCCTCTCTGGCTGAGGAGAGACTTTGAATGGCAGTATCATTTCCTCCACCTCCATTAAAACATGGTTCATCACAGTAGAACAAGCTTCTGTTCCCTAATGCCTCCCTCTTTTTTTTCCCAGGACACATTGGTCACAAAATGAAGGAAAAATGAAGGAATTTTGCTTTATGAAGACTTGGAGAAACTGTGTTTGTAGAAGATTCCCTTTTGTATGTTTTTTTAAGAATGGAATGCAAACTAGATTTGCACAGAGAAGTAGTTTTTAGCAGCGCAAACCTTGAAGACAGACATGCATGTAACTTTTTTGTACTTTTGGAATGAATCGTTCTATAACAATTTTTTTTTTAACTGTTCCCTCCCAGGGAAGGTCTCATACTGTATGTTTATAATTCTAAAGGGCTCAAAACAAGGCATGTGCTGACCAGCTCTTGACTTCATGTGTCTGTGATTGATTAGTGAGTATTGTGACTTTGTGTGAGTTATAGAAGGAGGAAAGAGGGTCCCTGTTTTCATCTCCTGAGTGACTGATACAGGTGCCCTTCCCCGTCTTTGGGCCTTGGTTTACACCTGCGATGGTAGCATTTGGACTAGATATTACTGGTGTCCCCTGTAGTCCTGTCCTCCGAGTGAGAAGGCCCTAGAGAAGTGTGACCCTGGTATTCTTTTAAAGTCATTACTGTATGGCAGTTGTGGACAGCTGGGGTGGTTCTTCTGCTCCTGTTTTTCCCGTTTTAAGGAGATTTAGTTCTGGATGGGTCACTTTGACTCCGGGGCCCCTTGACTGGACTTTTGGGGGCCAACCTGTGCACTTGTTAGCCCAGTGTCCTCTCAGCAGGTGGGCACTGGAGATCTTACTCCTGAACATCACATTGGAGAGAACAGAGCAGGTGTCATCTGATGGCTGTGGAATTGTACTGTAGTGGTACATGTGACCTTGCCCAAGCAGAAGCTTTTTTCCCTCCTTATGAGGAAAAGGAGAATATTGACTCTCTGCTCTGAAAAGCAGAACTCCAGGTGATCATAGCTTCCCAACATCAGAACTGTAATTCCCTCACTGTGAACAAGCCTTGGAGTTCATCTGCCCTTGAGGGTAGGCAGGGCAGCAATTTCTGCCCTCTCCAACCCCTAACATGAAGAAGTCAGGTCTGGGCTCAAGGAACAGACTCCCTGCCACGTCTGAAGGCCTCCGAGCAGGACAGAACTCGGCCACCTCCCTGGCTTACTTTCCCCAGGATGCTGCTGCTTGGGTGACCTTGAGCCAGGGAGAGCATTGCTGCCCAGGCTCCCAGGCTCTTGCCAAGCCTCATCTCAGTCTCTGGCCACTCTCTTGCCTCTCACATTGGTTATCATGCTTTGAAGTCCTTGTCAGAACTGAATTTTCTGCCTTTAATCTTGGCCAATCCACACCTGAGAGGCTGGCCCTGGTATATTACACAGCAGAGAGAGTTCAACCTGGGAGTCTGAAAACGTGGCATCCAGTTTCGTGTCCACGGCTGGCTTGCTGAGGTAGCCCTAGGCAAGTCCCTTTCACCTTGTGGGATACCATGTTCTCATGGGAATAGAAAGTGAATGAACCTAGAGGAGAAGTCTCAAACCTTAAAACCCTTCTCTGAATAAAATCAGAAATGAAATTGGAAGCTTCTTTCTGCTGTCGGGTTGGGACTGCCAGGGGACCTGCTCATATCCACACCTGACTTGACCCTTCCCGTCCATCTCATCTCCCCTTATCATGATTATCATGATTATTTCTATGCCTGTGAGTCTGCTGTTAACTCCCTGTGAATCGAGTGGGTAGGAGGTGACTTGCTCAGATGCTTGGTGAAGGAGTGAAGATAAGTGACTGTGGAGAACATCATGGAAGGCCGGCACAGAGTCCTTGGTCACCTCGGATCTGCATGGATTGCAGACCTAGAGCCGAAGGTGACTGGAGCCCTCTGTGGAAGTGCTGTCATGACTGTGTGGAACTAGCTTTTGCAACATGCTTAACAGTGACATAAACATTCATGCCATGTTGTCTGAAATTTTCACCAGTATCAAAGAGTGGATCAACAGGATTGTTCATCCTCGTGGTTTTTCACTCTGGAATCCTGAGGGCCCATTCCAAGACTAAGAACAGGTGCAGGCGGCTGCCACCACTCAGGAGCATGATAACCCTCCTACCAACCAACCCTGTTTTTAGATACTGTAACCCCTTTACCCTAAAAATAAATGCTTTTAAGGATGGTCTTCTTGGTCTCTTTGCCCTGGGAATGCTGGCTGCTTCAGGTGGGGGCGGGGTCCAGCTCCCACTCACCTGTTATCTGTCATCCTGTATGCATCTTGCCTATTTTTTCTGCTTGTATCAGCTATTTCCATCCAGCCCTCCCTGCTCTCCCCTCTGGCCTATAGTTACTTCCTTGCCTGGTTGCCACTCGTAGTATTTAGCCAGCCCTAATCTTACACCACTGCTGGCCTGAACCTTCCGAGCCTGCTAAACTTGTGCGTCTTCCTGTTTAGAGTCTAGGGATGCATTCACTCATCTCCCAAGGACAGAGTGAGGAAAGAGACTGAGTGCCAGAAGACTGCAGGTCGCTAGGTGGAGAGGATGTGTGCCAGGTGCCGGCCAGCTGTGGGGTGAAAGCCTTCCCAAGGCTGGGCTACCAGCTACATGATAGAAATTTGGAGAGAAAGAGAAAACATCCACATAATTGTCATGATAATCTTCTGTTTCATTTCTTTTGCTATTGTTGTTGATGCTTACTATGCCCAATCTATAAACTCAATTTTATGTATAGAAAAAAATAGCATATAGGGGCTGGGAGATAATAAAATGGTTACCTGCACAAACCTGAGGGCCTGAGTTTGAACCCCACATAAAAATGCTGGGCATGGTGGCTCAAGCCTGTAATTCCAGCACTGGGAGGCAGAGATAGGTGAATCCCTGGAACTTGTGGTCTAACTAGTTTAGCCTAATCAGCAAGCTCCAGGCCAATGAGAGACCAAGTCTCAAAAAATAAGGTAGACAGCTTCTGAGGATTGGCCTTTGAGGCTGTTCTATGGCTTCACACGTGTGTGTACCTGCACTCGTATGTTTACCCACACATATACAAACATAAAAAGCAAAACATATGAGTTAGTATTATACATAGGTTCAGGTGTCTGAAAAGCCCTGGAATGTACCTCCAAATGTAGTGGAGTCAGGGGGACTACAGTGATTCTGAGGCCAGTATTCAACCCCAAAGGGTTTTTGTGGGGTCTCTCCCTCCCCTCGTGGGTCATTGGCCACCGGTCCATGAGGACAAAGGGAGCAGAAGCAACGAATGGGGTCAGGATGGCCAGAGAGCACTGACGGAAGAAAGCCCTTCCGGGGAGGCAGGTTCAGTGATGCAAACAGCTCCAGACTCAGTGAAACAGCTCAGTGGGGGTTAGGGAAAATATAGTGTGGAGGCAGTAGCCAAAGCCTCAGGTGATGGGTGCTCATAGTATGCTTTATTTACATGTGGCAGTGGGCTCCTATCATCCGACTATCGGGCAATGCCTGGTTATCATATAGGAAAAACCTGGGTGTAGTTTTTACTCCAGGTAACTATGCCAAAGGTCATGTTCCAAATAAGGTCAGGCATCCGTGCTTGGTGACACTCTCCAGGTAAGTTAGGCAGAGAGCAGGAGACCCCCTGCTGAGAAGGGGAGTCCTTCCATACAGCGCCCAGCCCCTTAGAGCTATCCGGATGTGGAGGACTACAACCCTAGCAGCAGGTCCCCAGCAGCTCCCCCCGTTTTGTTTGTAGAAGTGTCATCACAAGCTTTAAGAGCCAACTCATTTCGGGAGAATCCAAAGTTTGATAATTGACCATGACCTGCTTCGTAGTAATTTTTGCAGTGGTAGTAATTTGTCAGTGAAGAAATTGTATGAAACAGGGAGCAAGCATCAAAATAACATAATTGGGGGCTATTGATATTGTAACATTTTCCCTCTGAAGAGGTAACTCCAAAATCTTTTTGGGATAAGAGCTCACAAATACTTTTAACGTTTTTGGCCTTTGGGATAGAGTACTTTGCTAAAAGGCCCAAGGGCATTTAGACTTTTAGCCAAGAAAGAAACTGGCTACTTTTCTTTGGGGTCTTTTTACCCTAGCTGCCTAGCCAATTTCTATCACCTATTTTTATAATATCACCCTCTGAAGAGGCTTACACAAATTGCCAATAGGGAATTGGGACGCAGACAGCTCTAGCTTCTTTCATGCTGAACAGGGACGCAGGGTGAGGCAACTGGGGTATCCCCTTCAGTGGGTCTATCTAAAAGACTCCCAAATTACATATCTCTTAACTGTAGGGAGAAAAGAAAGGTTTTTGGTGCCTGGGAGATGTGAAAGAAAAGTA